TGTTATTGTGATAAATCAATACTTAGTTTTAGTGCATTAGTATCGATTGTTTCAAGACATGCGTAAAGACACAACACATCATCTACAGCTCTACAACATGTCTGCTTGAATCCTTATTAAAGATGAACCAATATGTTCAATTTCATTTCTAAATCATGCCACAATCTGCAGGTTTGATGTTCAGAAGAGCCTCCGTTTAACTAATGTCTGAAATGCAGAAAGATGCATGTCTCCCAAAGATGCACCAGAACAACCATACAATGCAAATACCTGAGCAGCTACTACAGAGAATAGAGCCATGCAGGATTCTTCTCAAACATATGAATCCAGTGTATTCAGAATCACATTTAGATACACTTCAATAATCCCAGAGTTAGTTTACAATTGTCTGTGTGTCCGTGTGTGTGTGTGTGTTGTGTGTGTGTGTGTCTGTCTGTCCATCTGTCTGTCTGTCCGTCCATCTCTCTCTGCCCGTCTGTCTGTCTCTCTCTCTCTTTCTCTGTCCGTCTGTGTGTCTGTCCGTCTGTCTCTCTCTCTCTCTCTCTCTCTCTCTCTCTCTCTCTCTCTCTCTCTCTCCGTCCGTCCGTCTCTCTCTCTTTATCTGCCCGTCTGTCTGTCCGTCTCTCTCTCTCTTTGTCTGTCCGTCCGTTCGTCCATCTCTCTCTGCCCGTCTGTCTATCCGTCTCTCTCTGTCTCTCTCTCTCTTTGTCTGTCCGTTCGTCCGTCTCTCCGCCTGTGTCTCTCTCTCTGTCTGTCTGTCTCTCTCTCTCTGTTTGTCTCTCTGATATCTCTCCACTGTCAGTGCATGACATTAAGGATTTTGGGAGATGGCGATGAGGGCCGTCTAAGCTAATTTACAGATGGCCCTGAGCCCAATGGAGATTGCCCTGAAAATGCGCGCGGACGAAATGACGCACAAAGGGTTAGGGGGGCCTCCCCCTAGAACAGGGGTGGCCAACCCGCGGCTCTCGAGCCGCATGCGGCTCTTTGCCTAGTTTCATGCGGCTCTTCAGTTCATATCGAATTGTATATGTGTGAGTTTGGGGGAGAGACACTGACTCCTGACTAGTGTTGCACGGTGTACCGATACTTGAAAGGTACCGCGATACCCTGCCCTTAAAAATGTTACGATTCCTCCGTTTCATTAGTATCGGTACTTTAAGAATGACGGGGGAAAGTACTCCGGTGAGAAAGCGCCGTTTTAATAAGAGCCGTGTGTGTTCAGCGCTCTGCTTCCACTCCCTGCACTGCAAAGACGCCAGAAGCGAAATTTGGAAGTATTTGAGCTATATCTCTGACAGTGAGGGCAAGCCTACGGACACCACGAGGCCTGTCTGTAAGAATGTATTAATTTTATTTAATAGGATCTCTTGTCATTTATTTAATTTATGTTCTCATTGTTAAAAGTTGTGTTATGGTTATGGTTTTGGTGTGAAATAAAGCACATAATTACATTTAAGACTGTTTTTTAAGAAAAGTATCGAAAAAAAATAATCGGACTCGCAATTCTTGAACTTGGTATCGAAACCAAAATGTTGGTATCGTGACAAACACTAGCTACTCCTGACAGTTAAACCTGATATTTAGTAGGTCTGTTAAGTATTAACGTAATTTGGCCGGTCAAAGTTGTTTGGGCTCGGATAAAATCGCTCCGTTACTTTCGTCCCGTGTTTACTTTCGTCCCGGCTCCCGGTGTGTATGTGTGGTGTCAGATGTCAGTATGAGAGGATGACAGCAAGTCTAATTTTGATGTGGCCCAATCACAATAATACCTGTGATGCAGTGAACCAATCACCTTTGAGGGGGGGAAACCTATCGTTGATTAAACACTATCCAGTGTTTCCCCTACCATTGTTTTGGAGAAAAAAACGGAAAACAAGCGGTATCAGTGCCTGTGTGTTTGATGTGGCTCTTTGCAGTAACATAGAACAAATGTGGCTCTTAACCTCTGACTGGTTGGCCACCCCTGCCCTAGAACATTTAGATTTTTGCAGGTCTTAGATGCTGTCTGGTTCTCTAGACTGAATTATAAGATGAACCACCACAATATTATATTGTACCATTTCAATTGTATTCTTCATTTCACTTGTTTGTTTGTTCTTGTTTGTGTGTGCTCGCTTCATGCCCTGCATAGCTATAAGAAACACTTAAGTTGTTGATCAAGACACTTTCCATCTGATGAAGGCAAATGCCTTCATCAGATGTAAAAAAGTAGAACACATTACATTCAGTTATAACCGCCAAAACAAACATTATTTACACTATTATGGCCCCTGTTAAAATGTTTGTAATGTTATCTACTGTAAGTTGGTCGAACGAATGCCTCCTCATCCGGAAGCTGACCGAGCAGACCCGAGCAGCAGTCGAGAGGAGCCGAGCGCATCCGCGAAGCACACAAAATGGCGACGTCAGAGTTCCCATTAGCCGGCAAATCTAAATCTCTTCGGTCAAAATAATTTCCCTTTAGCGCAATACCGCTTCAGTTGCGCCACTTATGTGACAGACAAGAATAGTCGATTCTAATGTCTAACACTTAATGTGGAGAAAGAGATGTCCTGTATGAGTTGATTGTGCGTTGATCTGTTGGTAATGCCTCGGGGTTCCGGTGGGCATGTAAACAAATGCATAATGCTGCGCTATACTTTGCGGCCTCACCCGGTTGCATAGCAACACTTATTGTTTAGGTGTCTTTTAATAAGCAGGTAGTCTATCATTAGCTAGAACTAGCTGGATCTGATCGATATGGACATAAACGTGAGTGAAGTCTAATCTGACGGGAGAGAGAGATCAGCTGCTGCTGACGAGTCGACACGCAGCTCTGCATGATCACATGCAGCGGTGAGCGGAACAAAACACACACTTCAGGTTAGAATATCACATGTAGCTATTTTAATTACCTCTCAAACCACCTGAACTAGTTATAGATATGTTTAGTTTTACTGTCGGGTCACTCATTACTGATCCGCGAGCTGCATGATACTGGCACAATAGATTGCCCGATCGGGCAACCAGCAGGTGAGGCTTCATTGCCCGAGCTAAATACTAGATGGCCATCGGGCCATCGTTAATGTCGAGCCCTGACTGTAGTAAACCAGGTACCTGTTCACGAGTCCTTTCACGTTCCTCTTCATTTTCTCCAGCTCTGCTCGGCGTTTATCGTCTCCAGCGTTCCTCAGGTGAGGCGGGACGTATTTACCTGAAGTCACCTGAACACGAGAAGATTAAAACTCCATTGCCCAGCATGCAACATTCAAAAGATTCAAAGGTTTTATTGTCATCAATACTATGATAGAAATAAAGGAGAGTATTCTCACGATTTCAGGTGTCTTTGCTTCAGGAGTGACTGCTTCATCTTCCTCTGCTTTATCTTCATCGTCGGCTGCTTCTTCCTCCATTTCCTCCTCTTCCTCAACCACTTCATCCTCCTCACTCTCATCCTCTATTGATCCCATATCTTCATCACTCTCTTCTTCCTCCTCATCTCCATCCTCCTCATCTCCATCCTCCTCATCTCCATCTTCTTCCTCCTCCTCTCCATCTTTTCCCTCCTCTTCAGAGTCACTTTGTTCAAGCTTTTCAAAATTGTTCTTCGCCATTTCCATGTCCTCGTCTTCGTCGTACATCCCTTCAGCGTTGGATCCAGAGTCCAATATTCCCAGGATGTAGTCCAGACCATCGGTGACGAAGGACTGAGGAAGACTCTTCTTGTTCTTCCTCTTGTTTAACCCCAGGCATTTCTCCAGTTTCTTGATCTCTCTGTCTTCCTGTTCGTTCGCCTCCAAAAGAGCTATTTTTCTGGACTCCTGAAGCTTGTTGACTTTCTTTGAAGGTTTCTTAGATTTGTTTGGTTTCTCTGTAGCTTCACTTGTTGACACTTCTTCTTCGTTTACTTTAGGTTTCTTCTTCTTCTTCAGCCTCTTCTTCTTGGTGTGTTTCTCTAGCTCTTCATTGGGGGGTTCGATGAGGGTCTTGTTCCCCTCGTAGTAGTTTTTCATTTTGGCTTTTTTAAACTTTCGCGTCTCTTTACGCATATCTTTCCTGCTTTTCTTTTTCACAAATCTCAAGCCATGGTCATTCTCTCCATCGTCTTCCCCTGCATTTTTTTTAATAAACTCATCCACTGCCACCAGACACTTCTCCAACACTTCATTCCCCTTCTTCTTGTTGGTGTTTTGCTTCCATTTACCCTTCATTTCTGCACATTAAACTACACTTCTTTCAAATGTGGATTAGATAACAAGCCTTGTAATGAACTACAGGTCATTTAAAACCACCTACAGGTGTAAATTACAGCTTAAAAAGCTATTTAAAACAGGTAAATACCTCAGAAAACACGAACATGTGGACACGCCGGGGACCTGTCTTCTTCGTTGGTGGAGGGAGCGTAGCCTGTTGATGACGTACTTTATTTTGGGGGCGTTTTAAAAAAAAAATCGTTTACTTTATTAATCAAGAGTCATTTACACATTTACATGTTGTCTACATATTGATTTTTATATATAAAGATGTATTTAAAAATTAATTAAAAAAGAAAAATATCCGTGCTTCTTCTTCGTTGGTCGAGGAAGGGTAGCCTGCTGATGACGCATTTTATTTTGGGGGCGGGGGAGTCATTTAAACATTTAAAATATTATATAAATAACATGTATTATTATTACTATTATTTACATGTTGTGTGTACATGGATTTTCCCCAATAAAAATGTATAAAAATATATATTAAAAAGAAAAATACCGTGCTTCTTCTTCGTTGGTCGAGGAAGGGTAGCCTGCTGATGACGCATTTTATTTTGGGGGCGGGGGAGTCATTTAAACATTTTAAATATTATATAAATAACATGTATTATTATCACTATTATTTACATGTTGTGTGTACATGGTTTTCCCCCAATACAAATGTATGTATACAAATATTAAAAATAAAAATATCCGTGCTTCTTCTTCGTTCGTCGAGGATAGGGTAGCCTGCTGATGACGCGTTTTATTTTGGGGCGTCTTTTTCTGAGCGTTTTTTTCCCCCGATGTAAAACCTGTCTGTTCTCAGAGTAGAGCAGAAGGAGAAGCCAGTTGTGAGGAAACTGCTAGCATGTAATGTAGCATCTGTCTTGTCTTGCTTTTGCAATATGAAGAATGGAAGAAGACGACGTTTCTATCAGAGAGCAGAACTTCCACAGCCAAGTTCGAGAATACATTGTGAGTAACGTACCGGAGGCTAATTCACAAAGCTAACGATGCTAACAACGTCCTCTAATGCAACAGTGGTGCTAAGCTAACATTAGCATGAACTGTCAGTTGGACACTTAAATCTATTCATTTTATATGTTTATTTGATGGGGATCTGTCTTATTTAATATCCGATTTAAGTCTGATGTTGTTCAAATATTAAGCGATGAGCTAGTTAAAGTTAGCTTGTGTCATTGATAACAGTGATAGAAGTTAGCTAGTGTATTGGTTGATATTGCTATAGCCTTGTTATTACTATGTTAAACCTGGACACTATGTCCCTGCCCTTATTTATCCACACTGATGGAAAGTACATTCACTTAAGTACAATTCAAGATAAGACTTTGTTTATTAACACGAGCTACACAAGATTAAGAGCAATATTTTAATGTTGTTATCTTACAAACGTTTTCCATTTGCACTTTTACATTTCCTTGTGGGTTGGACATATGTAAATGCATGCAATGATATAACGCTGCTGCTGGTGCTGATGATCTGCCTGTGTTATAATCCATTGAGTTTCTATACAAAGAGTTGCAGTACATCTTCTTCCTTAGACACTTCTGAGATAGAAACCATCAGATGTCTCTCCAGCTCAACACCTCATCTTCAGTGTCACATTTTGTCCCAAGCATGTCTTTACACCAGACTCTCAGTGTCCCGTATCACGGTCTGAACGTACGGTAACATCGCATAATGTTGTAATGACGCTGTAAGATTAATATCTAGTGAGTGTTATCTGCAGGTACATGTGCTTACTTTGCAGCCACAGTTTCTCTGGTGTTAAGTTTCAACTTGGTAAACATGACACAATAGTACCCTCTTTTTAGACCTGAACCGTTATAGTGTCCTCCTGTAGAGAATTATGAAGAATGCATGTTCCACAGAAACCAGGTTGACTCAGAATAATGTGTGTCTTCCCTCGGTGTGATGACTTCAGTGGATAATATGACTTTGTGGTCATGTCGGCTCCGTTCCTCCACCCAACTAAGCAATCCTGTTATTGTACAGCAAGGCTAGGCAAGTTTATTTATAGAGCACTTTTCAACACAAGGCAATTCAAAGTGCTTTACAAAAAATGAAAGACATTAAGAAAATGACATTTAAAATCAGTCATTAAAAAGAAAAGCTAATAAAATAAACATTAAAAGAAAAAGTACATGGATAAAAGTTACAGTGCAGTCTAAGATATGAATAGTTCAATTAAAAGCAGCGACAACAAGAAAAGTCTTCAGCCAGCTTGTGGCTCATCCTTGTTTGTTACACTCTTGCACTAAAACCCAAACAAATGAAGTGCCTCTCATTCTGTCCCCTTAAAAGGATTTAAGTTTCTAAGAGAGTTAAGGATAAGAGTTTCTGCTTTGCTCAGTAATTCCAGTTTCTCCCTACCACCTCTTTTCAAGGGTGTAACGTCTCTCACATGCTTTTGTGCACAAAAAGTACTTCCACCTGAACAACCACCTTTCTGCTGGAAGATATCGCATACAAAACACTTTCAAACCTCGCACTGCTGCCCCTGACCTCCAGCCTTTAGTCCACATATCATAGAGGTGTAACATACTTTTCTAAATTGGATTGCATCAGCCAATCCGCTCGCTACTCCCTCACTGCGAGTCGGACCCAAAACCCCTTTCATTAAAACACAATTAAGCTTTTCTGGTTTTAAAAATAGTGAATCGAGCTCTCTGTTGATATCAGGACAGCAGAAGGTTTACACAGAGTGAAAACCCACCAGTTGAGATCATTTGAAACTAATGCCTAATGAGTTCTGCAGACTTGATGTCCTTATGGTTTATTGCACATGTTGGAAGTCGTTTGTAAGAAGCTGCGTTGCTTTGGTGGTGTTGTCCGTTCTGCTCGCTATCTCTTCCCGTCTGTGCCAGGTTATCAGCTCCGTGCATTCTGTCTGGGTCTCCCCTCGTGGGTCCCCGTCACCACATAGTTGTGCGGCTTGTCTCTCAGTGGGAGTCGCACAGCAGGGGATGAGAAAAACACTTTGTGCTGCAGCTGTCACAACACACGATATGATCCGATCCAGTTATTTCATTCTACGTCACTCTGAAACGTGGTTTGAGTCATCTCGTAACCGCAGCTCGGCCACGATGAGTTGCACAATGTTGACGCGGTGCAAAGTGCTGACGTTGGAGCTTCTATCATTAGTCGGGGTCCCGTCGCGGTCGAAGAGGGGAATGTGAGATGTGATCCTCCGGTAAGACCAGGCCCCGGTTGCCCAATACATTCCATGCATGGGTCCTTCCTGGAGCTCTCTGCGTGCACTGATGGCCTGTTGGGTGTGTTCTGACTATGCATTGATCACTGTCGTGGTTTTTAATCAAATACCTGTTGAGTTGTAATCATTAGTAGAGATTTATTATATATATTAAGGAGCTGGCATTTCATTTTATTCAAATGTGGTTCTTTTTCACAGGCTTGAACGAATGTAGGAGTGCTTTTTGGACAGTAAACGTGCACATTCAGTCTATGCACTCTGATCTAAACTTTGTGCTGTTTGGATCAGACATAAACAAACTATTAAATCAATCATTATAAAACAATATTTAAAAATGGGAGCTGAAAAGTTAATTTAAGGCATTCATTGAGAACATGATAACTAACCTGGCTCTCCCTCTTTCATGTGAATACATTCTGTATTTCTTTTAGTCTCTTGTGACGGTTCAACTTATATGTTCTTGTTTTGGACAACAAAATACCGTCTGCTTCAGAAATGTGTTGTTTTTCAGTTGGATCTACAAATAATATGTAGATAAATGAAGGTACTGTAGGTCTGGCCCTACACACTATGAAATGCATTACATGCTCCACCTTGCATTACGATGCATATTAGACTGACAGTCATGGGTAAATATCATCAGGTGATCCTGTAACAGCTGGTCTGTACAGTCAGAGCAGGATTGTATAACTCCTGTAGCCTTTAATGTATAATCTGACTGCTTTTCATTTTCATTTAATCGTTTATTTGAACAGGGACACATTAATGAACACTTTAGACGGATAATGCTTCAAGTGTAAATATGCCGGATTTTAGCTTTGAGCTCATTTCCTTCCGTAGTCGCTGACATACAACATTTAAGAACATGACATTTGTAAACATAAATACATGATATGCAAAAGAGCAGGAGCAGCACACACAAGCATTTACCACCTGGCAGTACACTGTAGCAGCAACGACATGTGAAGTGCCAGAGGAGATGCCCCTGAGTTAAAGTGCATTTAGCGGTGATCGCACGGTCTCGGAGTTGACCTTTGAAGCTTTTGAGAGAGGGACGATCCGTGTCTCAGCTGGGAGGCTGTTCCACAACGAGCTGCCTTTAACGGAGAGGACATTTTGTCCAAAAGTGGTCCGTCTGCGGAAGGGCTGCACGATATATTGTGTCGTGACGATAATCGCGATATTCACATCACGTGGACGTGCGATTAAAAAAAAAAAAAAGTTTACATTTTTTTTTTTGGGGCGATATTAAGAAGCCAAATGAACTCAAACTCATGTTACAATTATTTTGCTGCTTGCTACAAAAGGAAAACTTGTGCGGCTCTCATGTCCGGGGTACTCGAGTGAGTGACAGCTAACCACCATCAAATCTCCAAAGCAAAGGGACCCGGAGATCAAAGGTAGAAACACTGAATAAAGTGGTTTCATGTGTTTCTCCAGTTCGGCGCTGCTAACCGAGCTAGCTCAGCTCGTTGCTCCGATAACTTAAGAAGTCCGTGACTAAAATCCTTCATCCGGTTAAATATAGTTAAACAAATACCAATCGTATCATTAAAGTTCAAGAAAAGATGGTTTGTATGTTTTCATATCGCAGGGGAAGAAAATATCGCAATGTCAGTTTTTTCCAATATCGTGCAGCGCTAGTCTGCGGTGGAGTTCAGTCTCCTCTGGCGTCCAGGGGGGGGGGGGGGGGGGCAGTCCATGTTTTATACATGGTATCATAGAATCAGGGCGATACGTATGTCAGTAAAGCTACACCACTCCGTAGTCTCTGTAGTATTCATAGTGACAGAAAAAGGAAAGCCTGAGTCAATACATGATTCCTCTGTTCTCTAATGTTTCAGATCTGCTTCCTCCTGTTTGCAGTCCTCTACATCGTGTCCTACTGCATCATCACCAGATACAAGAGGAAGAGTGGTGTGTGTGTGTGTGTGTGTGTGTGTGTGTGTGTGTGTGTGTGTGTGTGTGTGTGTGTGTGTGTGTGTGTGTGTGTGTGTGTGTGTGTGTGTGTGTGTGTGTGTGTGTGTGTGTGTGTGTGTGTGTGTGTGTGTGTGTGTGTGTGTGTGTGTGTGTGTGTGTGTGTGTGTGTGTGTGTGTGTGTGTGTGTGTGTGTGTGTGTGTGTGTGTGTGTGTGTGTGTTGTGTTGTGTGTGTGTGTGGTGTGTGTGGTGTGTGTGTGGTGTGTGTGTGTGTGGTGTGTGTGTGTGTGTACGGTCTAGCATTACTATACATGTGGGGACCTAAATCTGTTTACACAGTCACGTGTGGGGACTCACCTCCCTTATGGGGACAAAATGGAGGTCCCCATGAGGGGGATCATTCATGTTAGGGTGATGACTTGGTTAGGGTTAGGTTAAGGGTTAGGGTTAGGCATGTGTTGGTTAGGTTAGGATAAGTCTCCAGGAAATGCATGTAAGTCAATGTAATGTCCCCTGAAGTGATGTATACATGGTATGTGTGTGTGTGTGTGAGAAACATGAACTATAAACTACATGCTTGATTTCATCGTCTTAAAGCATCTGTAACACTTACACAGCGTGGTGGAAGCATTTTCACGGCACACACACTGTTTAAGAGTGTGTGTGTGTGTGTGTGTGTGTTTACGGTGTGTTTGCTCACACACAGCCTTCATTGTGTCCCAGTAAAGAAGAATTACGGTGTGTGTGTGTGTGTGTGTGTGTGTATATATGAATAGCTTTAAGGCTTTGGCAAAATGGAAATAATTTGTCACAATAAAACAATTGTTGACATTGTGACAAAACCTGTTTGATATGCAAACAATGCTGAGTCAGCGGATGTTACAGGAGGTTATGTGTCGTTATAAGGACAATACAGGGATGTAAAAAAGAGAGCATGGACATGTTAAAAGATATATGTTTTAACTATTACAGGTTACAAATTGACTACCTTGGTACACATAGTATCCGAAATAGCAATACAATAGTTAATCAATAATAACAACAATAACATATTTGTTCAAAACGGTGTCCTTTAAGTATTGTTTGTTACATAATGTGTATTTTGTCCAGCTCAAAAGGCACTTAGCTGAGTGTCTTTGGTTTCCTCTCTAGATGACCACGAAGATGAAGATGCCGTCGTCAACAGAATATCGTGAGTGAAGCACATTTCAATTTATTCTTCTTTTTAGAATCCGTGTCAAATGATTGTCACGAGTTAGAGACCAAAGTGTTTCTTAATTGAATAATCATTGAAGTGGTGTGTTCTAGCTCAAATGGGACATTCTCTGGGTCCTTGTTCTCATTTCAATAACACTTCATTGCAGCCCTGTCCCTTATAACTAATGACATATATTAAAAAAGCCTTGCATCAACATACTGACTGCCACTATAACTGTGTGTGTGTGTGTGTGTAGAGCTGTGGTGGTGAGGATCACATATCTGCCAGTGTAGAGTTGACACACACATACACACACACACACACACACACACACACACACACACACACACACACATCCTGCATGTTTAGGTGCAGCTGAGCTAAATGGTACCCAAGGGTCCCGTCTAAATAATTAAAAGCGTTTAAGTTAATGTGGTTTTTTAGAGATATGGTGATGAGGGAACTGCAGCTTCTGTCACTAAGTGTGTGTGTGTGTGTGTGTGTGTGTGTGTGTGTGTGTGTGTGTCCTCTGCAGATTGTACCTGTGCACCTTCACCCTGGCAGTGTCGGGTGGAGCCGTGTTCCTGCTGCCTTTCTCCATCATCAGTAACGAGATCCTGCTCTCTTTCCCCAAAAACTATTACATCCAGTGGCTCAACGGCTCGCTCATCCACGGTCAGTCCGTCTCTCACACTTCACGTCTGTTTATTTAATTAAGTAGTAAATAATGAACTGTTGTACATTTTCTAATTCGAATCCAATCCAACTTTCTTCATACAGCACATTTAAAAACAACAGAGTTGACCAAAGTTCTGTTTATCAATACATATATAAAAAGCAGCATAAATACATTCAGACAAAAGAAACTAATGTAAAAGCACGAGACAATAAAACCATCCTTATAGCCACAGACTGGAAACCCTCATGCACGATGTCAAGACATTTTAAAAACACGACAAAATCTCAAACACAGACTGATACGTCTTATAGTAGAGAAGGTGTGTCCAAACTTTTGACTGGTACTGTAGTGTACACGTTATTTTAATGTGTAACCTGATACAAGGCTGCATGTTGCTGCCTCTGCCACCAGGGGGCACCAGAGTCCACGGTTTAGACACAAAGACACTTGGCAGATAAACTACTACCCAGAGGTGGGAAGTACGGGAGTACAAATACTTCGTTACTGTACATAAGTACAGTATTTCTGGTATCAGTACTTTACTCCACTACTTTTTACTTTCTACTTCTTACATGTTGAACACAAATACCTGTACTTTCTACTTCTCACATGTTGAACTCAAATACCTGTACTTTCTACTTCTCACATGTTGAACTCAAATACCTGTACTTTCTACTTCTTACATGTTGAACCCAAATACCTGTACTTTCTACTTCTTACATGTTGAACTCAAATACCTGTACTTTCTACTTCTTACATGTTGAACTCAAATACCTGTACTTTCTACTTCTTACATGTTGAACTCAAATACCTGTACTTTCTACTTCTTACATGTTGAACTCAAATACCTGTACTTTCTACTTCTTACATGTTGAACTCAAATACCTGTACTTTCTACTTCTTACATGTTGAACTCAAATACCTGTACTTTCTACTTCTACATGTTGAACTCAAATACCTGTACTTTCTACTTCTTACATGTTGAACACAAATACCTGTACTTTCTACTTCTTACATGTTGAACACAAATACCTGTACTTTCTACTTCTTACATGTTGAACTCAAATACTTGTACTTTCTACTTCTTACATGTTGAACACAAATACCTGTACTTTCTACTTCTTACATGTTGAACTCAAATACCTGTACTTTCTACTTCTTACATGTTGAACTCAAATGCCTGTACTTTCTACTTCTCTCATGTTGAACACAAATACCTGTACTTTCTACTTTTTACATGTTGAACACAAATACCTGTACTTTCTACTTCTCACAAGTTGAACTCAAATACCTGTACTTTCTACTTCTTACATCTTGAACTCAAATACCTGTACTTTCTACTTCTTACATGTTGAACTCAAATACCTGTACTTTCTACTTCTTACATGTTGAACTCAAATACCTGTACTTTCTACTTCTCACAAGTTGAACTCAAATACCTGTACTTTCTACTTCTTACATGTAGAACTCAAATACCTGTACTTTCTACTTCTTACATGTTGAACACAAATACCTGTACTTTCTACTTCTTACATGTTGAACTCAAATACCTGTACTTTCTACTTCCTACATGTTGAACCCAAATACCTGTACTTTCTACTTCTTACATGTAGAACTCAAATACCTGTACTTTCTACTTCTTACATGTTGAACTCAAATACCTGTACTTTCTACTTCTTACATGTAGAACACAAATACCTGTACTTTCTACTTCTTACAAGTTGAACTCAAATACCTGTACTTTCTACTTCTTACATGTAGAACTCAAATACCTGTACTTTCTACTTCTTACATGTTGAACACAAATACCTACTTTCTACTTCTTACATGTTGAACTCAAATACCTGTACTTTCTACTTCTTACATGTTGAACCCAAATACCTGTACTTTCTACTTCTCTCATGTTGAACACAAATACCTGTACTTTCTACTTCTCACAAGTTGAACTCAAATACCTGTACTTTCTACTTCTTACATGTTGAACTCAAATACCTGTACTTTCTACTTCTTACATGTTGAACTCAAATACCTGTACTTTCTACTTCTTACATGTTGAACACAAATACCTGTACTTTCTACTTCTTACATGTTGAACACAAATACCTGTACTTTCTACTTCTTACATGTTGAACTCAAATACCTGTACTTTCTACTTCTTACATGTTGAACCCAAATACCTGTACTTTCTACTTCTTACATGTTGAACTCAAATACCTGTACTTTCTACTTCTTACATGTTGAACCCAAATACCTGTACTTTCTACTTCTCACATGTTGAACTTAAATACTTGTACTTTCTACTTCTTACATGTTGAAACACAATACCTGTACTTTCTACTTCTTACATGTTGAACACAAATACCTGTACTTTCTACTTCTTACATGTTGAACCCAAATACCTGTACTTTCTACTTCTTACATGTTGAACACAAATACCTGTACTTTCTACTTCTTACATGTTGAACTCAAATACCTGTACTTTCTACTTCTTACATGTTGAACTCAAATACCTGTACTTTCTACTTCTTACATGTGAACTCAAATACCTGAACTTTCTACTTCTTACATGTTGAACTCAAATACCTGTACTTTCTACTTCTTACATGTTGAACACAAATACCTGTACTTTCTACTTCTTACATGTTGAACTCAAATACCTGAACTTTCTACTTCTCACATGTTGAACTCAAATACCTGTACTTTCTACTTCTTACATGTTGAACTCAAATACCTGTACTTTCTACTTCTTACATGTTGAACTCAAATACCTGTACTTTCTACTTCTTACATGTTGAACTCAAATACCTGTACTTTCTACTTCTTACATGTTGAACTCAAATACCTGTACTTTCTACTTCTTACATGTTGAACACAAATACCTGTACTTCTACTTCTTACATGTTGAACACAAAATACCTGTACTTTCTACTTCTTACATGTTGAACACAAATACCTGTACTTTCTACTTCTTACATGTTGAACTCAAATACCTGTACTTTCTACTTCTTACATGTTGAACTCAAATACCTGTACTTTCTACTTCTTACATGTTGAACTCAAATGCCTGTACTTTCTACTTCTTACATGTTGAACACAAATACCTGTACTTTCTACTTCTCACAAGTTGAACACAAATACCTGTACTTTCTACTTCTCACAAGTTGAACTCAAATACCTGTACTTTCTACTTCTTACATGTTGAACTCAAATGCCTGTACTTTCTACTTCTTACATGTTGAACACAAATACCTGTACTTTCTACTTCTCTCATGTTGAACACAAATACCTGTACTTTCTACTTCTCACAAGTTGAACTCAAATACCTGTACTTTCTACTTCTTACATGTTGAACTCAAATACCTGTACTTTCTACTTCTTACATGTTGAACTCAAATACCTGTACTTCTACTTCTTACATGTGGAACTCAAATACCTGTACTTTCTACTTCTTACATGTTGAATCACAATACCTGTACTTTCTACTTCTTACATGTTGAACCAAATACCTGTACTTTCTACTTCTCAAATGTTGAACACAAATACCTGTACTTTCTACTTCTTACATGTTGAACCCAAATACCTGTACTTTCTACTTCTTACATGTTGAACTCAAATACCTGTACTTTCTACTTCTTACATGTTGAACCCAAATACCTGTACTTTCTACTTCTTACATGTTGAACTCAAATACCTGTACTTTCTACTTCTTACATGTTGAACCCAAATACCTGTACTTTCTACTTCTCACATGTTGAACTTAAATACTTGTACTTTCTACTTCTTACATGTTGAACACAAATACCTGTACTTTCTACTTCTTACATGTTGAACACAAATACCTGTACTTTTACTTCTTACATGTTGAACCCAAATACCTGTACTTTCTACTTCTTACATGTTGAACACAAATACCTGTACTTTCTACTTCTTACATGTTGAACTCAAATACCTGTACTTTCTACTTCTTACATGTTGAACTCAAATACCTGTACTTTCTACTTCTTACATGTTGAACTCAAATACCTGAACTTTCTACTTCTTACATGTTGAACTCAAATACCTGTACTTTCTACTTCTTACATGTTGAACACAAATACCTGTACTTTCTACTTCTTACATGTTGAACTCAAATACCTGTACTTTCTACTTCTTACATGTTGAACACAAATACCTGTACTTTCTACTTCTTACATGTTGAACTCAAATACCTGTACTTTCTACTTCTTACATGTTGAACACAAATACCTGTACTTTCTACTTCTTACATGTTGAACTCAAATACCTGTACTTTCTACTTCTTACATGTTGAACACAAATACCTGTACTTTCTACTTCTCACATGTTGAACTCAAATACCTGTACTTTCTACTTCTTACATGTTGAACCCAAATACCTGTACTTTCTACTTCTCACATGTTGAACTCAAATACCTGTACTTTCTACTTCTCACATGTTGAACTCAAATACCTGTACTTTCTACTTCTTACATGTTGAACCCAAATACCTGTACTTTCTACTTCTCACATGTTGAACTCAAATACCTGTACTTTCTACTTCTTACATGTTGAACTCAAATACCTGTACTTTTCTACTGCTCACATGTTGAACTCAAATACCTGTACTTTCTACTTCTTACATGTTGAACTCAAATACCTGTACTTTCTACTTCTTACATGTTGAACACAAATACCTGTACTTTCTACTTCTTACATGTTGAACTCAAATACCTGTACCCTCTACTTCTTACATGTTGAACTCAAATACCTGTACTTTCTACTTCTTACATGTTGAACTCAAATACTTGTACTTTCTACTTCTCTCATTTCCAAACAGCTGGTTCCTTTAGTCTGAATGTGTGTTTGATGCGTGATCATTATTCTTTAGAGTCATTGCGTGCCTATTGATTTGAACACGATCCGTGTATCCATCATTTCCTGGTCTTCTCTAAAGAAGAGGGACCAATGGAAACGTTGTCATGTTTGCCGTTGTTCAGCATGGAAACATTCATTAGCTAACAATGACATTATTGTTCTATTAATATAAAGGGAGGTCAGGTACTCTTTAAAACAGCTGCTAGTTATGGGTACTTTTTACTGAAGTACATTTCAAAGCCTCTTTACTTTCACTTGAGTAAAGAAGTTTAGTCAGTACTTCTACTTTTACCAGAGTATGTTTAAACACGAGTATCTGTACTTCTACTTGAGTAAAGGATGTGTGTACTTTCACATCTCTGTTACTACTTAATAATATTAAATGGAAAGCTCGCAAAATTATAGGAAACCTGCCTGATAAAAGTCACATTAAAAACAGTTCTTTATATGAATGTATATATTTATATATATATCTGTTATTTCCTGCAGGTCTGTGGAACCTGGTGTCTCTGTTCTCCAACCTCTGCCTCTTCGTCCTGATGCCCTTCGCCTATTTCTTCCTGGAGTCGGAGGGATTTGCGGGGTCTAAAAAGGTACGTTGATGCTAATGTTTGTGGTAGAAATGATAATTATTCTTGTATTTTTGCTATTTTTTGGGTGTCACAAAAGCTGAAGAACTATCGTCAAAAAACACATAAAATGGGAATTAATTTGACATTTTCTGTGCTTTTTAAATCTGGATGCAATTAAAATATCTTCTTTTACAATGACTATTCACCTGTAAACATCTTTTAGCAGCAACCTTATCGAAGTGTCATATATATATTAAAGTAACCGGATTACTTTCCACTACTTTTAGATTACCTGAATATCCAATGCAATAAATCCAGAAAGAATAAAACGAGATATTTAGGATCAAAATTGCAGACACTTTGAAATTCTGTTTGCGTTTAATAAATGAACGCAATCAGAATATTTTAGTCGCCTAATTGAAACCAAAAAGAAAACTCAGGCAACACGTCGACCTATAATTTAAATGCATTCTAACACTCGCTAGTATTCTCTCTTTTTTACGCATTTCTTTATGCAACTATCAGGGAATTCAGATTCACCATACTCTTGTCCATTAAATGTACATCAAATGGAAATAAGGTAACACACGCTTCACACAAAACAAAGGGAGCTGCATCTTAACGTGACTAAGTGGCCGTCTTACAGTTTTTCTCGATTGCTAACACAATTCACAAAACCACACCCAAAGTGCAAAACACCTAATTTCTCCTGCTAAATGAAGAACTGCCCTCAAAACTACATAAACACTTTCCAAATGCAAACGTTAGCACCAAATATAACTTCATTCATAATACTAGATAAATGGATTGTACTTATATAACGCTTTATCCAGTCTTTACGACCCCTCAAAGCGCTTTACATACTACATGTCATTCACACCCATTCACACAGAGCAGTACCACTTGCTCTAGGACCTAACATTCACACAGAGCAGTACCACTTGCTCTAGGACCTAACATTCACACACATTCATACAGAGCAGTACCACTTGCTCTAGGACCTAACATTCACACACATTCATACAGAGCAGTACCACTTGCTCTAGGACCTAACATTCATACAGAGCAGTACCACTTGCTTTAGGACCTAACATTCACACACCATGCCATCGGGAACAACTCAGGGTTCAGTATCTTGCCCAAGGATACATCGACATGTTGGCTGCACGGGCTGGGATCGAACCCACAACCTTCTCGTTGAAAGACGACCGCACTCCCTCGCAGCCACAGTCGCCTAGATGGTTTGACCACCCAACGACACACTGCTGAGCATACTCTGAAGCACTCTCATCTGTTCTGGGCTGTGCTCTGGACAGAGAGGGTTCTGCAGAGAAAGATTGCTTTACAGAAATACAGTAAATGAAGAAATACAAATGAGTTGTTGAACAAAAATCATATTTTATTCAAAGCTAACAACATGCATCTCAGCACGTAGCTGCTATGCTTCGGATCTCTCTAAGTGGGATGGCATTGTTTTCCAAACCCCAGTTAGTAGCTGCTGCTTCCTGCCTCATTGAGCATCCTTAGCCTTCCACCTCTTTGTTTCTCCGTCCTTCAGATAAACAACAAAGTCATAGTGTCGGTCAGTGTCTGTGTTGCATCAAAGTAAGTTCACCAGAGTACATTGTGCAGGATGTTTGTACAGTTATAGTCTGCAACATGCCAACAATTCAATTACAGTAATGAAGTAATTACATTTAGATATAAGCACTGATATATCATGAGTTATGCAGAGCTACAAACTGGTGACTAACCTGTTATTGAGTACTTCTACTTTTACTCAAGTTCAAGATCTGAGTACTTCTACTTTTACTCAAGTTCAAGATCTGAGTACTTATACTTTTACTCAAGTTCAAGATCTGAGTACTTCTACTTTTACTCAAGTTCAAGATCTGAGTACTTATACTTTTACTCAAGTTCAAGATCTGAGTACTTCTACTTTTACTCAAGTTCAAGATCTGAGTACTTCTACTTTTACTCAAGTTCAAGATCTGAGTACTTCTACTTTTACTCAAGTTCAAGATCTGAGTACTTATACTTTTACTCAAGTTCAAGATCTGAGTACTTCTACTTTTACTCAAGTTCAAGATCTGAGTACTTCTACTTTTACTCAAGTTCAAGATCTGAGTACTTCTACTTTTACTCAAGTTCAAGATCTGAGTACTTCTACTTTTACTCAAGTTCAAGATCTGAGTACTTCTACTTTTACTCAAGTACAAGATCTGAGTACTTCTACTTTTACTCAAGAACAAGATCTGAGTACTTCTACTTTTACTCAAGTTCAAGATCTGAGTACTTCTACTTTTACTCAAGTACAAGATCTGAGTACTTCTACTTTGACTCAAGTACGAGATCTGAGTACTTCTACTTTTACTAAAGTACAAGATCTGAGTACTTCTACTTTGACTCAAGTACAAGATCTGAGTACTTCTACTTTGACTCAAGTACGAGATCTGAGTACTTCTACTTTGCCTCACGTTCAGAATCTGAGACGTAGAGCCTGGTTGCGGTCCTGTGTGAATGCTTCAGTGTGGATGCCGCAGCAGGTGTGGTTGCCCTCTCTCTGACTCTTCTCCCGACTGTAAGCACAGAAAGTTCATTAAAAGTCTGCCTCTGGACTTCGCCCCGCGCCACATCCTGACAATCCCTCCAGAAAGGCCACGTTCTGGGCTGCAAACGCTTCAACACCGCTGCATCGGCCCCACTGATTTAGAGCCTGATTCCTCGTCACCCCCCCCCCAGCACCCCGCCAAAATAAAACTTCAAAAGCACGGGCTAATAATCGAGTTGTAAGGCTCAGCGAACTTCCTCGTTGAATTGATTACCAGAAAGAGAGGCGGGGGGCTCGTGTTGCAAAGGTCCATAAAGTGGCAGCAGCATGACAGCACAATAGAGCTCGCAAAACACCGAGATTTACCTTTAATACACCTCTATCCTGTGTCACAGTTTGAGGCCTTTCTGGTTTATGTCCCTCCTGGCAAACGCACATAAAAATGAGTCTGTACTGTAGCGGAGAGCCAGTCCTCTTCCACCTCCAAACACTCATTTGCTTCGCTTGGATTTCGCTTGGAGGGCCTCTTTCTCCCGTTCTCCTTTCAGCTCCTTGCCACTGATCTTCCATACATGTGGAAAGGAAGCACTGTTCAATGTTGAGCTGCACGTCCAGGTATATATTGTGTGTTTGCTGCGGAGGTGACGCTAGAAACAGAACTGCCCGGTTTAAAACCCAGATCTGAGTTTCTATAATGAGATATTATCCCTTTCTCTAATACCAGCATTAAAAGCCTTTTTTTTAAGTGGCGTTTTAACTTTGAACTGAGAAGCCTCGTGACGGCGGAAATGAAGCCCATGATGAATCTCGCTTTTCATGAGGCTGTGTTTACGTTTGACGATGTACTAAAAGACGCCACCAGAATAAAGATGGAGATGTTGTTTCTGAGTGATTCATAGTTTCCCAAATTGTCCAAATTGTGGAGGAATCGGAGCGGCTTAGGGTCTCGATGTCGGATGTTATGATCCGGCTTTATTTGCTGCTGTAAAATGTCTTTTACGGCTCTGTTCTCCAATCTGAGCAAAATGGCTGCATCTCTGACGGCCGTTATGGAGCTGAGGAGGATTTATAACGAGGGGCAAATATAAGAAGTATTGATATCAGAGGAGGAGAAGTACTCAGGTAATGTACTTGAGTCAAAGTAGAAGTACTCAGATCTTGTACTTGAGTAAGAGTAGAAGTACTCAGGTCTTGTACTTGAGTGAAAGTAGAAGTACTCAGATCTTGTACTTGAGTAAGAGTAGAAGTACTCAGGTCTTGTACTTGAGTAAAAGTAGAAGTACTCAGATCTTGTACTTGAGTAAGAGTAGAAGTACTCAGGTCTTGTACTTGAGTAAAAGTAGAAGTACTCAGGTCTTGTACTTGAGTAAAAGTAGAAGTACTCAGATCTTGTACTTGAGTAAAAGTAGAAGTACTCAGATCTTGTACTTGAGTGAAAGTAGCAGTACTCAGGTCTTGTAATTTAGTTCAAGTAGAAGTACTCAGGTCTTGTACTTGAGTAACAGTAGAAGTACTCAGGTCTTGTACTTGAGTAAAAGTAGAAGTACTCAGATCTTGTACTTGAGTAAAAGTAGAAGTACTCAGATCTTGTACTTGAGTAACAGTAGAAGTACTCAGGTATTGTACTTGAGTAAAAGTAGAAGTACTCAGGTCTTGTACTTGAGTAAAAGTAGAAGTACTCAGATCTTGTTCTTGAGTAAAAGTAGAAGTACTCAGGTCTTGTACTTGAGTAAAAGTAGAAGTACTCAGGTCTTGTACTTGAGTGAAAGTAGCAGTACTCAGGTCTTGTAATTTAGTTCAAGTAGAAGTACTCAGGTCTTGTAATTTAGTTCAAGTAGAAGTACTCAGGTCTGTACTTGAGTAAAAGTAGAAGTACTCAGATATTGTACTTGAGTAACAGTAGAAGTTCTCAGGTCTTGTACTTGAGTAAAAGTAGAAGTTCTCAGGTCTTGTACTTGAGTAAAAGTAGAAGTACTCAGGTCTTGTAATTTAGTTCAAGTAGAAGTACTCAGGTCTTGTAATTTAGTAAAAGTAGAAGTACTCAGATCTTGTAATTTAGTTCAAGTAGAAGTATTCAGGTCTTGTAATTTAGTTCAAGTAGAAGTACTCAGGTCTATGTACAGTAGTAGAAGTACTCAGGTATTG